TAACTTTGTACAATAGAAACATTCTGAGGGGTCCTCATAAAACATTGTTGGCTTGTACTCAGGTCATAGGTCATAATAATATACGTGACAATATGCAACTTATATGTAGCCAGGATTTCAACAAGTTAATTTCACAGCCCCACCAATATAATTGGTTTTTTTAAATATTATATAGAATATATAATAATAATGGTGGACTTAAATGGCGCATATTTTCATGACCTCTACGCGCATCACAATGTAAAATAGGAAAGGTAAAAAAAATGAAAATAATGTGTGGCTAAATAATCTCCCATTCCTTAAACTAAGTTATGGTGGGCTGTTACCCCGAAGAGCTCTTCTGCCCTTTATTTAGCTGTTGATTTTCCTTGCTTCTGGGTGGCACCATGGCACCCTTTCCTCAGCAGCCACGAAGACACATCTGAGTTGGGTTGTTAGTTTAGTTGCCGACTACATGACCGGATCATAGTTTAGTGTCAAAATATACAATAAAATCATATATTTTTTTATAAGTAAACTAAAAATTCATGCAAGAGTTTTATTTATTTTGTGAATGTTTTTCGATAAATCAGTCAAAAAATAATCTTGTCAAGCAATCACCAATTTCCCTAGCAAAAGCCCAGGGCATGATTTTAATATCATGAGTGGATCAGCTGAATTTTTTAAATCCAGAAATACAACTGCTAATAACACAAATCAGAGCAGTATTATCCCGAAGCTGTTTTAACCATCAATTTTACGGGTAAAAATAAACTGGCCAACCGGTAAATATGTTGTATTTGTAAAATTAAAAACCACTGATTAGGCCTACTGTAGGTAATCAAGGCTGGCCGCCTTTCAATAAATGAACATCATTCCAATCTATGCCTAGGCTATAACTGTACTGTATGTGTTTTTTTTTCAAGTCATTAAACTCTAAAGGGGGTAACACCCTGCACTGCGCGCTTAGCTGAATTTTTATGGGCAAAATTACCAGTAAAAATGTTCCAATTATTAATAACACAAATCAGAGGTATATGTTTCTAGGTCAGATTTTATGTATAGAAGGGTTAAAAATGTATTTCAAAATACCATGTTCTTTCTAAAATCATCATAAAAATATTTTTGTGGTTAACCAATTATTATTTATTATATAAAAATAGCCAGCACTGCTTTAACACTTTAGCCTTTTTTCGGAGTAAGAGCCTGAGGAATGTAGTTAGAAGATACCACAAAAGGTGTCTCCTTGAAACACTATATACTGCCCTATGGGCCCAAACATCACCCTGGAGTCCTATTACTTATTGTTACGCCACTGAAAATAGCCATCAATATGAAAGGTGTCTTGTTGAATGTAAAGTAATTCGGTCAGTTGATCGAAAAAATCTGAAATTATTTGCCTAATATTTAATCCTCTTGCAGAATTTCAGGCAAAGTGCTGCAGGCGATGCTTGTGTGGTTGAATGAATTTGACTTGTTTTGATTTCATAAGGCAAAAATTAAAAAAATTACTGGTTTCTCGTCTCCTCGAGCATCCATATTTTTTCTCTGCCTCACTAATTTTTATATGTTGCTAACAGTCAAAGCTCCAGAAATGCATCAAAAAATAATCTGCCCATTCATTTTTGTAACTTCTTTTATAAAAACATATTAGGTCATAAATAACCTTTGTTGTCAAACAAATGTTTAGTTTGCTTTTTATGTAAAGACAACAAAAAGCATGAAATTGGCATTAATCTTGACATTGATAATAGTGTGGGCACAGTATAGCTATGTATGTTGTGTTTTTTTATTCCTTGTTTCGCGTACTTATTTTTTTTTAAAGATCATCGGAGGAGGGCGGAATAAAAATAAAAATAAAATTCTGTTTTATTTAGCAAATAGTTTTGCCAAAAACACCCACATGGAGGAGAAAATAAAAATAAAATTTAATTGGTTAATGTAAAATGGGATGGTTAAATGCTTCAAATTTATGTAATTATGAAGAAATATACATATCTTGTCTTTGGAAATATCAAAATGTGTATTCACAGACTTACCCGCGAATGACATTTTCTATTTGAAAAGTCCGAAATTAAAAATATTGGTAAGTAGTCATCCGAAAGCTCTGTCCACACTGTAAAATTTTATGTGAATAAAAAAAAATGTGATGTGCCGACATCATATCACATAATTTCAAATTGTATAAAAAAAAGTTGAACATGTTCAACTTTTTTTAATGTCGTCTGTCTAAAAGTTGTCAGATTTTTGATAAAACACATTTTGACCAATAAGCAAACACTACAAATCACACCAACCAATTGGATTTGATAATTCAGTTTCATTAAATTACTGTTGTACGTCACATTGTTTTAGGCAGTTTGATGTATTTTTATGATATTGTTTCATTGCATTTTATGTGGTGCTTTTTTGATGAAATTTTGATAGTGTAGAAAGAGATTAAAGTAAGCCTCAGACACATGTCTTGCATACAATACTGTATATAATTCACACAAAATGTCTATTCACAAACTTACTTAATACAAGAGAATGACTTTTTCTACTCAGAAAGTAAAAAATTGAAAAAATTTATTGAGTAGCCCTCCTTAAAAAAGTAAGCCTATTTAAACATGCACAGGTCTTGTAATACAGTTTTATTATATAAAAGCAATATATCATTCACACAAAAGGTGTATTCACAAACTTTACTTACAAGAGAAGGACTTTCTCTATGTGGAAGTCAAAAATTTGAAAATATTTATTGAGTAGTCTTCCTTAAGGAAACGTCTTTTAACAGACACAGGTCTTGTAATAAATTCTTATTATATAAAAGCATATATATCATGTACACAGAATGTGTATTCAAAGACTTGCAAGAGAATGACATTTCCTACTTGGAAAGTCCAAAATTGAAAATATTAATAGAGCAATCCTTAAAGTTTATGTGTTCCTCAAGGATCCTGTGGTGGGGCCCTGGTTTCCCACAATTTATCTCAGTCCACTAGGAGATATCAGTCGACATCATGATGATATGTGAAACTTGAAATTTTACGCATACACAATGCTTATCAAGGTCATAATGTTTTGTTTTACTTCAATTCAAAGCTAGTTTAAAACTTAAGTATAAACTATGCAGATTTTGCGGAAGTGATAATCCCCAATTTCGTTGTCTGTCATTGGTTATTTTGCATGCAAATTCTTGAAATTCTAAACAATGAAAACATTATGTCTACAAAGGTTTACACATCACATGTCTTTTGAAAAAATTTATGGTCGAAATAAAGGTTGTATTTACTTCCTGTGGAGCTCACTTGCATACCAACCAAACAGAGGGGTGTCGCAGCCACATCAAAGCTAGGTTCATATGGGATTATAGCCAGATGAAGTAGCTGATCTACTTGCCAAGTTAATTGGATTAAATCCAATAATCGCATTCGACGTTAAGGTTAGAGCGAGATATTTTGATTACCAGAAATTCGGAAAACACATGTATCATTAGACAGGAAGTACAATCGCATGACGGTTAATTGCTGTTGATTTTCGCGCGACTAGTTTATGCTAGATCGAGATTAAAGGCGTAAGCTAGGTCTAGGTCTCGGCGGTTGATTAGACTGGCCGAGGAGTCCAGCTGGAGGGTTTACACTGGGTTTTCCCCCAAGTATTTCGTTTAGCGCGTGGTAGTGTGGGCATGGCGATTTCGGGTCATCCCTTATTACATTGGCCGACCCCTTGCCCATCCCACGAATAAAAACGTCTCTCACAGCCTTGTGGTATGCTCTTAGATTTTTCAACTTTGTCACAACAATTGCCGATGTTATGCTATTGTGGCCTCTGTCCCGCATTCTCTCTGCAATCCTTTCGTGGACACCAGCCTTCTGACGGTACAATTTATCTTCAACTTTTTCGGCGATTTCTGGCTCCCCCCAGATATCTATTAAATCACATTCCTGCGCATACGTCCAGAGATGGCGTTTCTTTAAAGACTTTTCGGCCATCATTTGCAAAATAAGACTTGTTGAAATTAAAGTACACAGATCAAGGAGACTGCGTCAGTTCTGAATGGTGTTTATGATAGTAACTAAAAAACGCGCTAACCAGCAAGCATGGAAGGTCACTTTGCTTCAATTTGATTGGTGTATTTGTGACCTGTGGCCACCCGCTCTTTAATTGTTTACTGGCTTTAGACTGGATTAAGAAGTTAGTCGCCATAAATTTTCTCGACAGGCTTAGTCGAGTTGTGGCCTTTATCTCGCCATACTTGAGCGGTCATACTCAAACTTATGGCGAGATCTTCTAGCTCATCCACTAAAATTATCTCCCCATAGTTGGATATGAACGGGGCTCAAGGCATGAGACCCTTGTGCTACCTATTTTACTGAAAATTCTTATGGACTTGAACTACCATTTACGAAAATCGCACTGTGCTCTAAAAGACAGGAAAAAGGCACTCAATAGTGCCAGAGAGGGCGCAATATTGACTGGTTCCTGATGGCAAAAAGTGTTCCGTCTGGTCGCGATCTAGTGGCTGTATCAAAGGTAGGCTTAGCATGGGCTTACCGGCTTAGCACCCAGTCTAGCTTGAAATTCCTGCTAAAATTTGTGCAGAAAATTGTGGCACTTTGACACAGGATATTCTAGGGACTTCAAGTACCAATTTCACCCTGGTTATTTCCCACACTTGTGCTACAAATTCCTTGCAAGTATACCCCATAGATGCTGCAACTCCCCCCACATTTCCCACACTTGTGCTACCAAGTCCTCGAAAATATATCCCATAAATGCGGTACCTCCCCGTATAGAAATATTTAAGAGTGAGCCCCCGGGATTTACTTGCGAGTGCTGAATGAGTGTGTCTACACGGCACAGAGTCATTTAAGATCCTCCTTTTAGTTTGAAAATCATAAGTACTTATTAGACTTAACTACAGAAAATTAACAATCACTTAGGCTAAAAAAATGTAAATAGAAATGTTAATTATCTTGCAAAATATTTTATAAACCTGAAAAATATATAATAAAATTTTTATTCCATTTTTCTAACAGCTTCTCCATCAGAAGTTTTAAGTCTTAGGGACCAAATACAGAACCTGAGCTCGGAGGTGTTGTCGTTGAGACGAGCTCTTGACGGGACAAGTTGGCAGGAACATCATCCTCATCATCTGAAATATCAAGGTATGGTAATTTTGAAATTCTGCTATCACTTAGTAAGAACAATGAGCTGTTTCCTGTGCAGTGTTAGTGTCTGTATGGAAGGAGCAGTGGGAAGGGCTTGTTGGACAGGCCAACCCTCTGATGCCCCATTGTAAGCTCTGACCCTTGTATTGGAGGTCAGAGCTAGTTCACATCTAGCAAATTTCCAACATGAATTTTGCATGTCAGCATACAATGATTTCCAGTCGAACTACTGTACTTAGCCTCATTGAAGGTAAAGTTACCGTGTGGCTTCCAAATATTGACAATAGGTGAAGTGAGATTTATCGTTTTGATATTCGTTTTGACAAAATAATAAATCGCAAAAAAAAATGAAAGACGCGAAATACTTTATTTAGTGAAAATCGCAAAATTAAGGGCTGCAAAAAAGGGGGCTATAAACTTACAGTATTTATTCAAAAGATTATACTATTTATTAAATATTCTACTTTACATTGAAAAATTTGGAAAATAAAGAATTGGAGCACAGTAGGACCAGTCATTTCGATCAATTCTGTTTAGTATCTGACCACGCTAAGTAAGCCTACAGTAATAGCCAAGATTCCTTAGAATAAATTTAGATTATTTATTTATCTTTTTTGCTATGAATACATGTCTATAAATCAAATTGGTTGCTGCATTTATCTCTATATTCTTTTCAACTTTTAATTTAACGCAGGGTTCGAATTTCCCCACAGCACCGACGGCAATTGCTGTAGAAGGGGCCTTCCAATGCTGTGGTATATCCTGCTGTATGCTCGACAGCAAACTTTTTGCTGTCAAGTTACCTGACCCAGCAATGGTTTATACACTTACATTTATAGAATAGGCTATTCTTAAAACAATTGATGAAGCTTTTTGCTGTAGAAGAAGAATAAATTGCTGTAGTAAAACCATAGTCCACAGCAACTGTTTGCTGATGGAGCATTTTGAGGAAATTTGAATGCAGCAGTGTGGCATAAGTTAATTTGGGGATTAAAATTTAAAGGTTAAAAGTGTATCAGTAGAAAAAATAATTTCCATGAAGATGAGTTTATAGTCAATAAAATTTGGTTTGATTATAAAAACTAAATGTAGCAGTAATCAATTACAAGAAATAATACTTTGGCCCAATTATGGACATGATGCTATCGTATTACTTGTTTTGTATGGCAGAACGTTTATAGCTTTTAATTTCCTAATAGTTTAATATTCTATAAATGTTTGCTAGGCCTCTGGGCTAGCTTTCTAATAATTTACTCTATTAGCAGTGTAATTAATACTTCCGAAGGCAATGTTTTCTAGAGGAAATTCATTCTTTATTTTTTCAGTTTAATTACCATGAAATGGATATATGAATATATAAGATTAAGAGCACTTTCCAATTATTAAAACCGCTCCAATAAATGCCTAATCAGGAAGTTTTTTAATCAGTTGGGACTGCGGCAATAGCGATAATGGCAACAAATGTAACACCAATGATGTCTTTATTTTCCACTTATTTCACATACATTGCCTCTATGAACTTTATATACTTCATAAAACAGGGGCGGATCCAAGATGTCCAAAAAAAAAAGGCCGAAAGTGGGGCCAACCGAGCCAACACTACCCTAGGGGTCCGGGGATTTTCTCCTGCAAAATTATTGTTTTGTAGAAGCCTGAAAATAACCTCAGGCGTTTTTGGTGATCAGTTATTTCTTTTTCTTTCTTTTGTATTTTACTGTCCAAAATGGGGGTCCGGAGCCGGCCCGCCCAGCCATTTCCCCCCACCTCCTTAAATCATTATTTTAGGGGCGGATCCAAGATGTCCGAAAAGAAGGCCAAAAGTGGGGCTGACAGAGCCAACACTACCCTAGGGGTCCGGGGGTCATTCTCCCACGAAATTGTTGTTTTGTAGAAGCTCGAAAATAACCTCGGAGGCGTTTTGGGTGATCAGTTATTTCTTGTCCTCTCCCCCCCCCCCCTTAAATCCTCATTTCAGGCTTATTTTGGATAATCTGTTCATTTCTATTCTTAGCTTATGCATCCCATCATTCCTCCAACTTATAAGTGTGACATGGTCTTAAAGCATCTTACCATCCTGTTATTGGCGAGTGTAGGCCTACTATTGGATAAGGAAATAAATAAATTAAGACATGAAGAAAAAAAAAACCAAACATTTTACTTGTGACAGGTCATCAAACAGGTCGCCTCTAGGTATGAAGACATGCTTGTTTTGAGGTAGTGGACCTAATCAATGGTAGAACTTAAGTTATGCCCATAAAAATGAATAGATGTTTCTCTAACATTATGTTTGCAATATAATGAAATACTGTATCTAAAAACAAATTACAAAGAAAAACATAAATCTTTCATTCAGAGTCGTAATTCAATGTATTCATTATTCTAGCTGTAAGCAGTTCTGGGTCTACAGATTGAACTTATGGGTGAACCCCTTGGTAAACAGTCATGTTTTCTCCATAATTTTCTGGAAAGTGCATAGAGGTTTTTGCGGTATGCAGGCGAGGGCATGTGCCCATTTGTCTATTCTGAAAATGTTGTGCCCTTCCCCCTCCCTCGTTTGAAAAATTCTGGACCTGCCCCTGCTGCTATGTGCTAAAGCACAATTAATAATAAAAACCAGCTATTAATAGTAATACAGATCTTTCTTTTGATGGCACCTTTTCACTGTTTGAAAAACAGTTAAAAAGAATTTTTCCCAGGCTTAAAATGTCCTCATACTGTATTTTGTTCTTATTTGACACACTTTTTAAAGATTAACATTATTATTGTACAGCAGTTACCGTAAAACCTTGATTTGAAGCCCTGGGCTGCTTCTGTTTTTTTGCAAACTTTGGATGGGCTTCGTTTCGAGGCTATTTTTGCAAAGTAAAGAGGGTGGCTTCTTTTCAAAATGAATACTGTACATTTTGGGAATTACTACTATAAAACAATATAAGGACACTGTAACATCAATCTGTATCATGGAGTGTATTAACTGGCATTTAAATCACCTAAACTACTGTATAAACCAAGCGTGTTTATTAATTTTATTTTGTTTCTTTGAAATTCATGTACAGTGTATGTACTATCTCAAAGAAGCCCATGGGCTTCTTCTCAAGGCTACTTATTGCAAGCTAAAGAGGGGGCTTCAATTCGAGATGGGCTTCTTCTTGAGATAAGCCCATTGGGCTTATATCCGAGGTTTTACAATATATTATACTGTACTGTATTTAAGAGGGTGTGTCACACCAACTGCACATACAGTACAGATAAGATTTTTGCTTTTCATATTAAAAAAAAATTAAATAAAACCACATTTTCCAATATATGCAGCCTCAATTTGTTCTTATTTTGTTCTTGTTTTTTAAGCAATTTAAGCCTCAGTGTTCTTATAAAATGCAGGCTTACTGTACACTCACTTTCCATAGTAAATCAAATGTGAGCTCTTATTTTTAAATTTATAAAATATGTTGTCGTGTTAGTAAAGTATACTTTATTATGCTTGTACTGTAGTTGTTTTCCATGATTTATTCCAAGCAATTCCTGGCCTGCTACTGGTAACAACATTTGATATATTGTTACTGTTTTGTGATTTAGTAGTGAAGGTTTAATACCTGAAACAAGAATCATTGTAACTGCTGATTTTATTCCAGACCTCACATATAGACATCATATAAATCACACACACTACAGTACACTACACACTACACTAGTAGTTGACTCTAAAAGGTAGCTCCTTATTGCAATAGTATTGTTTATACAATTAACTTCAAAACTGCATTTTGCATCTTGTAGCTCGGGAAACTTTCTATCCTCTTTACTAGCCCCAGGCTTTAGGGAAATTTTTTTTCTGATTTCAAAAAACAAGCCGTCTTTACATAAGCTTCAAATGTATGTTTAAGCAGTAAGCCTTGATTCAGGTGAGTGAACCTCTAATTATTGATATTATTGTTACTAATATTTGGTCTTTATCAGTGTTTTCCTTTAACCCATATTATTTTGATAATATTATTATTATTATTTTTTCTTTTAAATGCAACTAGCTGGCTAAAAATGGAGCCAAATGTAGAACTAATCTTCCAAATACCGTACGTAAAATACCATTTTATGGGCTGTTACATCATCAACAAAGTCCCAGCTTATTGGAATTTGATTACTTTGATGTTTTTAAATTAGCATTTCACTTTTAACTATCTGTGAATCAGTGAAAACTAAATTGTTTCTGTCTGTCACATTCAAAGTTGATAGATTTGATTAATTTAAATTAGAAATTGTTGATTTAATTAAATTGCTTTAACAATTTTTTTTTCCAGTTTCATTGACCTTACTCTTATTGAAAGTTGATAAATAGCTTGGATGTATTTAAAATGAGAAATTATTTAATTGAATTTAAAGGGCTTTCGTATTCTACGACAAATCTGTATTTTTAAAGAAATCATGGTACTGTTCACAAAAAAAAAAAAAAAAATTATAACAGTAACATAATACATACAGAATTGGTTCTTATGAAAAACATAATACTGAACGTTTTTGAAAATGCATTAAAGAGAAAAAAACATTAATTATAAAAGACTATATTGTGAAAAGGGGGACAGATACTTTAAATGTTCAGAAATTGCCAGTTGAAACTTGAGTCCATCAACATCGCTGTAATCTTACCTTACAAATTCATGTGGGTGAAATGAATGAGACATTACGTGAGTTGCATGGCAGATTCCTCTGCTTAATAGGTAAACGCATAGATGATAGATGATCAGGATTAAGCAGTTTTGTTTGAGTTTTAAGTCCCATAGTAATTTGCTTTTTCCTGTACTGTATTAGTGTCACTGACTGATTCTTCCTAAGAATAATGATAAGGCACGGATACGGTATTAATTTCATTGAGTGTAATGCTTATGTTCACGCAACCCCTTGGTTACCATTTAATATCCCAATAGATAAATCCAACACCACCACGTACATCTGAAATTCATACATACAACACTCGTCAGAACAGAGTAAACTTGGTATTACCTTTTCTA